ACACCATCTAGCCAACTTACCAAACACTCGAAAAACCTGACAATCACTGAGGGAAAGTAACATCCTTTATAAGAGGGAAGCATACTTGTCATGTGATTTTTTAGGTCTTTAAAGGGGATATGTCAATCCAAGACTAAGTAACACTTTAATTAGGCATTACTTACTACTCCTTAAGGCTTTCCTGATATATTTTAACTATTCTTTTATGTAGAAAATATTACTCTCAGTGTCCCCAATTCAATATGTTATTCTTTTCTTCTTTTTTCCGAAACCAGAACTCTGAGCGCACGGCTGACTATGATGTTGATGGTGACAACTTCATCTCCGAGTCGGAACACTATCACTGCACACCAACCAAGTGGCTGCCGAATAGGAAATCCCGCTGGAGGTTCAACTCGCTGCACGACCAGCCCACCGTCATAGCTGCCTCCTCGAATGCCAGCGTCACCGCCAACACTACGGGCATCGGCACTGGCAAAGGCCAACAGACATCGTCGTCAGTCAAGTGCTCCAAGTGCTCCGCCAAGTGTCAGGCGGATAAGAGTGTGCCGGACAAGACGTTAACGTTTAAGCATCAGCCGACATTCTATGAGCTGGTCGAGGTGTCGCGTCTCTCGTCGCTTATCCACTGCTCGGCAATTAGCTGCAAGTACGGAGGACCTTGCATGCACTCCACGCCCTCTGGCCTGCACTATGTGGGCACCGGGAGCCAGGCTTCTTTCTCGGACACCTGCCTGGGTGGCGCCTCCGCAGAGGTGTCCGAGAAACTGGAGGCGGACTCACACTCGCATTCGCACTCCCATTCGCAGGGACAGCAGAAGTATGGCCACCATCAGGGGTCGCAGAACCATCACCACAACCATCATCATCGCATGCCGATGCGAGTGTCCACGACGAAACGTGACACCAAGACCGCCAAGACCCTGACCATTGTAATGGGCGGCCTAATTGCTTGCTGGATGCCCTTCTTCGTTTATTATCTGCTGATACCCTTCCTGCCGCGGCCCGCTGTCCTCGAGGACTTGATGTTTGGCTTCACGTGGATTGGCTGGGTCAACTGTGCCATTAATCCCTTCATTTATGCCTTCTACAATCCGGACTTTCGCACTGCCTTCTGGCGGCTCACTTGCCGGCCAATCTGTAAGCAAAAGCGTCCGCCAAATCACCTGGCAATGTTCCGTGGCTAGCCTGGAGCTCTTCTTGACCTGCTGCCCCAGGTCTTGTGACAACTGAAGCTCAGATCAGGTGGATACTTTAACTGACTTTCTTAGTTTCACCCTTTGGCCTTTCTTTTGCTCCTTTGTTCAAGAAAGATAGTGTTCTGGCTTCTATAATTGGCAACTTCCTGAGTATTCTGATACTTAAAGGTTTAAGTTACAGGAGTAGTTTGTGCTCCAAGTCTCTTAATTGTATCCTCAAATCGCACAGTACAAGCTAGTCTGTGCAGCCATGAGCCTTTGTGTCTGTCTGAAAATTGAAATTAATATTTGAGCAAACGAAGCACGAACTCCGGAATTTGTTATCTCAGCACTGTATTTAAAAGATTTTATTATTCTGCCATCACGTACCCGGTTTAGTATATTAAAACTAGAAACTAGCCATGTCAATATTGATTCGATGGAGGATGCTGTTTGTAGCCGTAAGTGGCCAGTTCGTGCAACACGCTTGCACTTTCTTGGAGAGTAGGTTTAAGGCAACCAAGGACATTTTATAGCCGTATCATTAAGACTCAGGACTCGGTGAACTTGACCGGAAGTCGAGATTCCCTCTGTTCCTCTTATATAGTATTTTTGTGTGTGTTTCCGAGCCGGAGCGTTGATTGTGCAAGGAACAGAAAGAAACAAAAGACAAATTATAGTATTTGCGTGGCTTTGTTGCTGCCAGGACGGCAACTGTTGACCGTCAACAGGATGAGAGGAGCATGATGATGAGGCTCCTGTCCTGCCTCATCGCCATTCCCATCCCCATCCCCGTTCCCATTCACATCCCCTTTGTTGTGTGTGCTGTGCCGGAGTGAGTCCGTGGGTCCAGTCCAGTAACTGCCAGCTGCCAACTGCCGACGACATATCTGGCGTGTCCTTTGTTGGTCAAGCACGGCCTGACCCCGCAAGGCACACACACACACAGTGTCCGTCCGGCCAACCCATTTAATGTTTAAGCAATCGCAAGTGAAAGCTAAAGCGAAAGTGTAACTGAAACTAAGCCTAAAGCGAGACCGGATTTGAAGCTGCACTTGAGCTCGAGGAGACTTTAAGCCCAAGCCCAAGCCCCTTTGTCCCCACACTCAGGCTCGTTGGACATTCAGAAAAAGCTGTATCATAATATATATATATATCATATTTGTACCCAAACTATGTACTTTATAAATGTTCACTTGGATGAATGTAAGGATCTCTGTAAGGACCTATCGGCCAGCCCTCGACCAGACCAGAGGCCGAAAGTGTTCCATTGTAGTAATAAACTTTAAGTTCAATTCGAAGGCAGTTTTATTATTCAGGCGGTGGGCGTGTCCCATGGATTTCGTGTGCGAAAATATATAAAATATGCTCACAACTCACAGCGGTTTCTTGGCTGTGTATTGAGCTATAAATTGTCACGCAAAAGTTTTATGCACATTTTTCGGAACACGTCTTTTCTTTCAGAATGAAGGTACGAGGAGTACGTGTGCTGTCGAGAAGATTTGCCCAAACTCAAATTACTATCTTGTATCGGAAAATGGTAATGTTCATTTGACTCTGCTCACACGGCATGATTTATGTTCCAAAAACCAGACAAGGCAATGTTCAATTTTGCTAAGTAAATAGAAAAATAAATATATAAACTATATCCCAGTATTTATAACCCTTTCTCAGAGACACACGACTCAAATATCTGGAGATAAAAGCTTAGTGCAGCTCAAAGGAACCTCTCAATTTGCGGAAAAGTGCAAGAGCTGGAGCCGAGGGAGTAGTGGGAGTAGCGCATTTTCCAGCTCAGCCTTGACTTCATTTTTTGTGATTTATTATTGGAAGTGGTAACCCCATGGCCGCCTCTAAGTTGTTTATGGCCAAGTGAGGACGGAAGCAGAAGAAACGCTGAATCAGCGAGACTGTGACTACCGGTTCCAGCTGGGACTGGGACGAGGACCATGGCGTTACATTAATTTAGCTGGAAATAAGGCGTGAAAAAAAATGCGGTCATCATAATTACATATACGCACACCCCCGCAATAGGGGCCTGCCGCCCACGCACACACACATGTGACTAATAAAAAAAAGGACGTCAAGAGGAGGTGTCCGCCTCCCTCCGCTCTCTAATGAATTGCAACACATTTCGCTGTCACATTTCACTTTCGAGTCGAGCTCAGCGGAAACTGCCTCCCTTAATGCCCCCTGTCAGCGTCCTGAAAACTCCTTACTTTCTATATATATATACGGTGTAATTTGGCTTTTCAGGTGTGGTATCCTTGGAGTTTAGGTAGCTTTTCAACATTTGTGAACATTTTTATAGTCAAAAAAATGTAGGCTGAAAGGCTGATTGAGTGTTAATAAGAGGTACAAATATAATAAAGGTATAAGGACATTTGAAGATATGTTGAAGAACTTTATAAAAGTATATCAAGGATTGATGAAGGAATTTAAGCCTTAGATAAATATCTTTTACTCACGAATTGCAGAGTGTAACTTTAAACCAAAAATAGTTCAAATTAACTTAGTTTCAAGGAATTTCTTAATAAAGTAAGATCAAAAAAGTCTCGGATTACCGGGTATCTCACCGTCGGGGCACTTGACCATACCAATTTCCTGTTGTTTCGGTTGAGGCACTTACCTTTCCGCCGCTTTGTTGGCTGATATCGCGTAATGTGTTAAATTAAATGGCCACGGCTTCAGGTGAAATACGGAGACGGAGGAGCAGGACTACGAGGAGGTGGTGGCTTTCAGGAAGAGTTGACTGCCAGGTTCTCCTCCTATTTATAGCCATGTGCTGACGGGGGTGCTTAGGCTAATGTTGTTTGTTGGCCCAAGATTTTTCGGTTATGTCATCGCGGCGGTTGTGGGTTATGAAGGAAGCACTTGTTCTTCTTTTTTGGGAGGCCCGGAAAATACAAAAATAAAGAGGAAAACAGAAGCAAAAACAAAAACATCGATATTTTCGAGCATTTAACAAGTGCTCGAGACAGGCAAAAGTTCCGCAACCTCTTTTGCCATGACAAATGCCCTGCAAATGTTTTTCGAATGAACTTTGGTTTTATTTCGGCTTCTTTTGTTTTGCGTCGCCAACTTGGTGGCTTGTCTTGGGCGTTTTGGGCGTGTGACCGTGGGTGTCTGGTGTGGGCGGGGCGTGTGAGTCGCCTCAAGTGTCGCCCACTCTGCATCGCAATCGGAATGTGGGGGAAGTCCCGGGTAACCCGGGAACCTGGGAACCCGGGCAAGTTTGGTTTCTTACTCAGCGGAAGCAGAGCCGATCAATTAATGTTATCCAAGTTGGGCGCGGGCTCAATTAGAGTCTTAAAACTCCATTTAGAGGATGCTCAGATGGGGCTTCCCCTCCGGGGAACTGGATGTGGCGGCAGCTTCAATGAAATATTCATGGGGGGAGAGCAGCCAGGGCCAGAGCCAGTTGGGTTTGCGGGGTTAGCTCCTCCGTATTTATGGTTATTTTCCGCACCAAACACAACTTTGCTTTCTAACCGTGCAGCAGTCAGTTTGGTTCTTTTTTATTTGGGTTTTTTTCCGGGGGTTTTCCTTCGAATTCTCCAACTGACTGGCTCCTGGTTAAATATAAATAAACACAAGTACAGACACACATCGGGGGCGAAGTACACAGTATGTATATATCTGCAGTTTGGTTGTGAATTCAATTTTGAGACTGATCAATAATTCACGGTCCCCGCACTAACCATTGTTTTTGCTCCTGACCCGGTCTCATTGGAGGACCCGGGCCCACCTTAAAGTGGAAAAGGCGCTTAAATAACAACACTCTCTCACCCCTCTGGCTGGAGAGGAAATTTGTCTTTTCGATTTGTCTATTTATTTGTTCGGTTCCAAAAAATGCTGTTCGTACATACACATAACTATTAATATATATGCAGATTATGCGGATTATGTATATGATATTACAAGCCAAAAGCTCATGCCAATGAGTCTGAGACTGGGACTGAGGCTGAGAGATTCTCTTGCTTTTGAGATGATAGATGGGTGACGGCAAGGAGCTCCATCCGCAGTGTGTGTGTGTTTGCTTCCGACGGGTCGGAAGCGTTCTCACCCGGAGCATCTGTTTGACTTGTTAGGCCTGACATGTGAGCTGAAATTCAGAAGGATTGAAGGAACTGACGGGCTATGAGATGAGATGCCAGCCAGGGGAATGGCAATGGATATGGAGATGAGGATGAATACAGTAGAGTACATGTACGTATGCTGGTGAGCGTTCGTCTGACTTAATCTCTATGTCGTAGCATTGCTTGATTGCGTTTATGACTTCACACCGTCGCCGAATGGAGAGATGGGGGCATGGAGCTGGCTGGGATGGAGTTAAAAGTAGATTGCTTGATACAACACGAAACTTTGCCCTACTGCTGCTCTAGGTCCTGGGGTTAGCTAAGCTGCCGATGGCATGAATAAATTATGCCTAAAATTATTTGGTATATTTTCAACCCATTCACACAAGCTTTTTCACACACAAACACATTCTCTTGCATACACACTGTCAGACACTCTGTTAAGGCTAAGGGAAAACTGCTTAAGAAGCCTGGATGACTTCTACTATTAACTAAATCACAGTAACTGTTTTTTTAACTGGCATTCCAATAAAGCTAAAAGCTAATGCCTGACCTAATCCACCCAGTGGTTTCCACTGATTCGAGTAAGTCCTTCCAACAGAAAGTCCTAAATCAATCAACTCGTATCTGTTGAATTTATGGCGCCTTGATATCGGCTATGATATATATAACAATCCAGCACTAAATTCAATTCCGATAGGACGAGTTAGTTGCCTCGTAAAGTTGGCAAAAAGGGAATTCACGATTCGCGTGGGGGGTTGTTGGGGGGTCACCTTTTTTGCGGAAAAGGTGACCCAGCACGCCACTGAATATTAGAGTATGAGAAATGTGCGCAATTTCGGTGAGCCATATAAACAAGTTTTCTCATCCATCTAAACTGTCTATGCCGTTGGCTTGGCCGGGCTCTGTCTGAGCCACATTTTGCCTTTTTGCCCCGACTCGAGGCGAACGAATGTTGCAAGTTGAGAGGCAGCAAAGGCGGCGCCGCCTGCCGAGCGGAAAAGTCTCGCGGAAATTACTAAATCGATACGTGCTGCCGCGTATCAGATTTTCCACATCGAGTTTGGGTTCCGCATGCAAAAATGCTGGCTGCAAAAATACCTTGAAATTGTGGCCTGCAGTCGCATATACCTGCAGACAGAGGAGCTTTCCTAAAAAAGGACTTGCACTCCTGTAAATAGTTCTGAGATAGTGATTCCCTAGACATGTTTATAACATTTTTGCTAACTAGATCTGAATCGTTTGTACAATAAAATCAAATCAACCATTAAAGGATACTACCCCTTATGTACTCTTCAAAATGTTACTGCTTACTTTAAGTCCTAGAAACCTTTTCAGTTTAGCAGAATCTCTACTGTACTGAGTTAGGTCCTGCTGCTTTCAAAGGTCAAACGTAATCAGTGGAATGGCCAGTGGGTGTTGGTCGTCTTTCTTAAATGGCAAAATGATCCTGAATTGGAAGCAAACCCTGACGATTAAATAAATTACAGGAGTAACTAGAGAACAATTATACACATATGGCCAGGAAGTGAGGTGGTGAGGTGGTTGGATCAGGTGACTGACTTGTGGTGCAATTACGAACCACACCTAGAGTTAATGAATATGTTAATAATACGTTAGGCGCTGGCTTGGCGCTTGACGGGTTGAGGCCTCTCTCTTCCTCCCTCTGCTCCTCTATCGCCTGATGGACATGGTGTTCGTGGGGAACTGCGGCTTCTGGCCAGAGCTGAAGAAGCGCTTGCAGGTGAGACGCCAGAAGGCCGCCCGGAAGTCCACGCTGTAGAAGGCGTAGATGAATGGATTGATGGCGCTGTTGAACCATCCCAGCCATGTGAGTGCCTTGGCCAGCATATGACTGGCCTGGTGCTCCGCCAGGAAGGGAGTGATCAGATAGTTGACGAAGAAGGGCAGCCAGCAGGCGATGAAGCCGCCCACCACAATGCTCAGTGTCTGGGTCGTCTTGTTCTCCTTCTTGAGCGACGTAATCCGGTTGGACAGTGACTTGGTGTTGGTGGTGGTGGTGGTGTTGGCACCACCTCCTGTTCCGGCACCACTCGCCGAAGTTGCGGTCACCCCGCCTTGGTGATGATAGTGCGGATGATGGTGATGGGCCCGCGAGTGCCGGAAGCTGTGGGGGCGGGGCGCCTGGCCTGCAGACTGGGCCTGCCACTGGGCATCCAGGAGACTGCTGCCCGGCCCGATGCCACTTGTCATTGTGGTAATGGTCGTCGAGGCCGTGGACGTTCGTTTCAGCGATGAAGGTCGTGTGAGCTCGTAGCACCCATTCTTGCCGCCGCCGGAGGGAAGCGCCAGCAGCGATTGACAGTGGGCGCCTGCGGAGGATCCCGCAGTGCCTGTAGTACCACCTCCGCCTGAAGCTCCTCCTCCTCCTCCAGTCACTGGTGGAGCAGCACAGTTGTCGCTGTCGCTCAGCATCATTTCGTGCAGCTCCTTGGCTATCGTCTGGTTGGAGAAGGTGCGGGATGTGGCTTGCCTCTGTCGCTGGCCCACTGAGCTGTGCTGCTCCTGCTCCGACAGCTCGTTCTCCACGTCCGCCGCCGTGTAGCGCTTGAATTTCTAGACACGCAAAGTGCACAAGGCGGGTAAGTCAATGCGGATGATAAATAACTTAGGTGAAGTCAATGTGCGGTAAAAGTTAAGTGCTGGAGCGTTGAATGGGAAGGGTATAGTGGTGGTCACGAGATGTCGAAGGTGTACAAGTACACTATCTAGGAACGGGATTTTATACGTTTAAGTATACATTACGCAGTTAAACTGTCTTGGGAGGGTATATATTTAGTCACTGATTAAATAAGTTTAGGGGTTTTGTTTTAAAACAGAATATTTAAAATATATTCTTCCTATATAGAGGATACTTGAAATATGTTTACGAAGAAAGAGAAATTAGAGGAAACTATCGAGAGGAATATTTTGATATGGTATCTAGAAACATATTTTGCTCAATAAAAAAACGAAAATTTCGAATAATATTAAAATATACTATTATACTATTAAAACCTGCTTAAAAATTCAAGGATTTTTGAAAGCTTTTACTGCTTTTAAAAGTTGTAATAATAACCTTGCTTTTATTCCATAAACGAAGTGGTTGCCCTGTACAACTTCTACAGAGCATTCAGATTTAATAACAAATGTTACAATTGTTAAACAACAGTTGCATTGAATTTAAAGCTTACTTTAAACACTTTAAACTTTGGCACAACATGCCACATGCACACACATTTATATATTTGCTTTAATGTTTGTTTGACATTTTTGAGTAGAGTAAGTTAAGTAAGCCGTTGGTTTAAATACCCTTACATGTAAACTGTGTAGCATCCTTACGAATATTTTATATATAAAAATTGTTAAATATTTGTGTGAAACAGGCCAGGAAAGGGCACCTTAACGAGGCAGGGTACTACATATACTAACAGGTAAACGATGCCCATATACTATATGTTAGGTGCCCTAAAACTCGACCTGAGGAATCAATGGTGGCAAGTTGGGCTTAATGGCTGCATAAAGCGGCAAAGTTATAGTGGGAAACTTTCATTATGGCAAACATTAAAGCAACGGCTGTTACCGGTCAAACGGAAGTGGGGACATACCCACATCCGAGGGCAGGGTGTATGGCATTTAAATCTGTGTAAGCTCCTAGCGTTTGGGAATTATGAAACAAACGTGCCGCAGTTTGTGCCGTACGTGGAGTGGCCTTTAAGCCGCCGAGGATGATGAGGAGGAGTGGCTGTGGCTGTGGCAGTGGCAGTGGCAGTGGGTGTGTGCAGTGTGTGTGTGCAGTGCAGTGGACTCAAGTGGGTGGGGTAAAGGGGACCGGAATAGAGATGGCTTTGGGCCAGCTAGCTGGACTGTTTGCAGCTGCATCACTAGCACTGGCACCATATTCCATATTCCGTATTTGTGCATTTTGTTGGTTTTACTAAAGGCGTCAGGAGGTGGTGGGTGGTGACGGTGCTTACCTTGTTGTGAACACTTATGTCGGTCATATTGTCGTGCCTGGATGCAATGACACAGGAAATTCTTGCATACACATAAATCATGACTGCCATTGGTATGAAGAAGGATCCCATGGCCGAGAAGATGACGTAGCCCTCGTTTTGGTTGTAACGGCACTCGCGCAGATCCCTGCGTCCTGGCTCGTACCTGCAAAAGGGCAGGAAATGAGCACAAGATACAATTAATTACAACAAAAGTCGGCTAATGCAGGAAGCCCTCAATTATTCGCTTCCGCTGATGCACAGAGGGCACAGAGCCGAGGCAATTGCCACCTAATTATATTTGGTTTGTTCAGCTGGGAGTTTGGCATTCAGACTCAGGACTCAGGACTGCCAGAGGAACTTGAATTTGCAAGCTTTTCAAATAAATTTGTCCGAAATTCCTCACAGAGCCCTCAAATGGACCCTCAAATTAGTGTCATCGCTTTATGATGTCACTCTCTGAGATATTTTAGGGTCTTTAAGTGATACAATAGACACCTACTTAAATTCGTTTTATCTGCTGCCATTTGACAACATTTGAAGGTCTTTAAGACTTTCAATTAAATTAAGGAATTTCCTTACAAAGACTTTGGACACTTAAATGGACATCAAGCCATGATGATGGCCAACTAATTGAGCATTTCCCTTTTATTTCGTTGAAAATCAGGAGTTGCTTGTCAAAAATCACGAATTTGCATGCACTGAAACTTATGACTTATGATGCTGAAGAATTAATAAGTAAAATGAGTTTTTACTGTTTTAAAAGCCGATGTTTTTTTACTACTTATTAATACTCTTTTACGAAATTTTACAGAGTTTAATATTCATTCAGCTCTTATTAAGGACTGCCTTATAGAGTTTCCCTAAAATAATTTTATTTTACACTACCAAAAACTTTAATTTTGCTGAATTCCTTTCGATCTCAAAGTGTTTTTAAGCCTTTTAAGCCTTTGTATTTGTAGAGTTCAGTTTAAATAAAGTGCAAATGAACTCGAAAACTTTTGTGTGAGTGCACTTACCAGCCCAGAATGGGGGGACAGGTGATGGCCAGGGCCAGCAGCCAGACGATTAGGATCATGATTAGGGCCAAACGTTTCGAGCGCCGTTTACGGGAGTACGTGAGCGGCCTGGTCACGGCCAAGTACCTGTCGGATGGATGCGGAGATGCAAAGATTTACGATTTGGGGGAATACTGGTGGTTGCGAAAGGGACACCGTCACGCTGCTCTCACCTGTCCACGCTGATGGCGCACAGGCTGAGTATGGAGGCCGTGCAGAGGAGCACGTCGAGGGAGATCCAAATGTCGCAGAGCACCCAGCCGAGTTGCCACGAGCCTGCAATCAAAATACCAAATTAAAAACTTTCGCCAGCTTTTGTCGGCAACTTAAAATTCCGGTCCAAAGTCAATTTGATTAGCAACATTTTGCCGTGGCAGCTTTCACCCAAATGCCTCACCTAAGGCCAATTAAATGGGCCAGTTGTGGAAATTTTGGGCCAACGTTTTGTCGACCTGGTCATCACCGAACCTGACCCTATGCACATAAGCCCCGTTAGTGGTTTGGCCCAGTCTCCAAGCTCAACTCTTGCCGTCTCCTGCATTGAATTTGTGGGCACTTTGAGCAGTTTCTCCTCGTCTGCGGCCTGTCAACCGATTAATTTTTTAATCAAGTGCCCCTCAAAATGGTCTCCGAGCGCCAAAATGAAAAGTTGTTTTTGTGGCAGGCCCAAGGACCCAAAGGCCAGAAAACAGCCAGCTCATTATGGACGAAAATTGGCCTGGTCTAGTTAACGTTAAGGATGCAGTTTGGCACATGGTTTTCTTGGTTCCTGTTTCAAGATTAGAAATTCGAACAGTCCAATATGGAGTTAAGAACTTGGTAATTAATACAGAAATACGATTTGTTAATGCTAAATCCTGGTTACGAGCCAACTTTGTAATGAAAACTTTCTGAAAAAACAACATCGTTAAGTTTGCGCTGAGACTCCTTAAATTGTTTACCTTTGGTGCGGGCAGGCATAATAAGGATTGGATTGGGATTTACCCAGAAAAAAGTTTTACAAATCTGAAGTGGTTTTTAATTTACCGAAAACTGAAGAATACAAGGAACTTTCGGTTAATAGGAACCAGTTGGAGCCTATATAATACGTCTGTTTAGGCTTGGCCCATTTCCCATTCAGAGGGCAGAACTAACCAACGAGAAACCAACTATTTTCCAAAGAGATTTTTTGCTTTTTTTTGGACATTTTCCGATTTGCCAACGGGTCGGATGATTATGACAAACTTTCGACATGCCGTTTGCCTTTAAAGAATGCCACAAAGTTGGGGCTCGGGAATGCTGTGCCCCGTTTTTAGGCTGTTCGTTACTTTTTTTTTGCCTCCACTTATTTTTCCTGTATTTTTTTCCTGCAGTCGAGGAAATCGCATGAAAGCGAAGGCGAAAAATGAAAGAAATTCTTTCGGTTCAAAGAATACAAATCCATAAGGCGAGAGAGATACATACTCGCAAATATTCCAGCTAGCAGCATTTACATAAATATGCCGGCATGGCCCCGCCTCTTCCTGTTCGCGTTCGTGCTCTTATTTCTATTCGTGCTACTTTGTTACATTACACTCGAAATTTAAAAAAAAATATTGACTAATATAAACAATATTTATTATACTTAAGAATTACTATTAAATGAAATGCTTTAGGTTCTAATATCTATAAAAGGTCTTGCAAAACTAAGAATTTGTTGAAAGAAATATCGCTCGTGTTATCATATCTGGAATATCAATATACTACAATTTAAAATATCGAAAAATATTCCTTACCGGAGAATTATATAGCTGAAAATTCTACGTATTTATTTGTACCCTCGCAGGATATTATAATTTCAGTCAGAAGCTAGCTTTGCACTGAAAGAGTAATTTCCGACCCTATAAACCATATATGTATATTATTGATCAGCATTAAAATCTGAATTGATCAAGCCATGTCCGGTAGAGAAATACAATTTTCAAAACTTTTTCAAAATTCCAAAATAGGGGTTACATCGTTAAAATTGCCAAGTTAGATTCCTTTCTTGTTTTTATGGATTTCTTTATTCATTCAATTGAAAGAATGTACAGTATACAATTTAAGAAAATTAAAAGTTTCGCTTGGCAACCCACAGTTAGTGCACAATTTTTTCTCGCTGTGTGCTTTTAGCTTGGCGTTGGGCGCACAGCTTTTGTTAGCAATTTTTTGAGGGATTTACCGGAATGGCATCTTCATCTTCTAATCACGCGAAAAGCCCAGCAAACGCCGCCTACTTTCACGGAAGCACTTTAATGGTCCTGGCGCGGCATAGAACCCTAAGGAGCTCTCGAAGCACACACCAACTTGGGGAGGGAAACTCACCTATGAGATGTACTGCGACGGCGGGTGGCATTACGAATATGCCCACGAGCAGGTCGGCGACAGCCAGGCTCATCACAAAGCAGTTGGTAATGGTGCGCAGACGACGTGTGGTCAGGATGGCGAGAATCACCAGGGTGTTGCCGATGACGGTCACCACGATGAAGGTGGCGAAAACGGCAATCAGGCAGATGCCCTGCCAGGAGAGCACCAAGTCGTAGAAGTGCGACCATTCCGCTGCTGCCGCGGACTCGTTGTAATAATTAAATGTGGTCACGGCAACGGTGGGACCGGCTTCTGTCAGAGCATCCACTGCATCCGATGCTCCGCCGCCAACGGTCTCATTTGGGCCACCCTGTGGCAGGACGACATTCAATCCCGTTGCGCCTCCTGCTCCGGCTCTCGTGCCAGCTGTCGCTCCCGTTGCCCCACCCGTTCCATTCGCCGCACTCAGCAGGTCCTCGTAAACGATGGATATGTTCTCCGGCAGCCCCGATCCTGCCAGGCCCAGTCCCTGGCCGCCTGCGGCGAGCGAGGAGGCCGCCACATACATGAGCGATGGATAAAAGGCGCTTAAATTATTCAGCTGCAAGTTGACAGCCATGGATCGGCCGGTTGCGTCCGCAGAGGAGCTATCTCCGGCTGCTGTCCTGTTCTGGGCCTGCCCAACTAAGCCCTACTCGGCGGTCGGGGCACGCACACCCTTCGCATATCCTTGGAGCTGGTCACTGGCGCTGGCTGTGGCACTGGAGACGGAGATGGAAGCTGTAGTGGAAGCGGAACTGGTGGGCAACTGGCACGGCCCAACTGCTGTCATTTTATCGAATTGCTGTCTGATGGCTTCGCTGCTCGCTTGGTCGGTCAGCTGCAATCAAATGAAAGAGCAACGATAGTTAGGGAGTAATTCAGGCACTTAGAGGAAAATCTATAAAATTCTTTAATGCAATCGTAAGAAAGTTATAAGGAGAAAAATTTTAGGTATATTGATGTAAGTAAATTGAATTTACATAAAAATTATGCCAGAGCTTGGAGAAACTCAGTTTGTGGTTAGTTTTACACTTAATTACTCCGTATTTTAAATATATGTTTTCAGAAATATTTTTGTTTCATTTTCTGATAGTTATAAGTCATGTGGGGCAATTAAATTAGTTTAGGAATAACTTAGAAAAGCTTCATCATTACTTTTATTAATATTTTCCCTTATGTAAATCAAGAAATAAAAACTTGAAGGGATTATAAATTCTAAGACACTTAATAAAATAAATAAATTATTAATGCATATCCACTGAATCATTGAAAACTTATTTTTATTGTGAATCCCAACTATATGGAAAAAATTAGAGAAAACTGAGCCAAATTCTTTTATATTTCAGCCTTCATATTTATATTTTTGTTTATAATAACATTTAGTATTTTAAGCTGTAATTTTTATAAAAACAAAACAAGAAATATTCGTATGCAACAAAGTTAAAATTTTGCTCAGTATAGGTGCAAATGATGCGAATATTATTACAATTTATTAACAATAAATTCCACTCGGACAAAGAAAATGAGTTTCTTTTGGGGAAAACTACTTACACGAAAAAATTTTGTGTAATACACAACGAAATGGTCAAATAATCCACACAAAGCTTTTATTTGTATAGTATTTACAACAAGTCGGAATATAAAACCATTAAATTGGTTGCGAATTTAACCCAGTGAATGAAATTGGTTACGAATTATTTATAGTTCACACTTGCTGCAAGTGGATCTTTTGGGGATAAACCACAATGAATGACAATTCATCAGCGAAACTTTTCCACACCATTTACGATTTTCCACTAGAGTGTATTCCACGTGAAATACGACGACGATAAGATTGATAATCGACGGCCGCTTTATTAGATTTTCGCACAAATTATGTATAGCCATGGGCCAATATTACGTATACGCAACGTTGGTGCGTTCGGGTATTGGTTATTTTCCCGCCGGAATGTCGCGTCGCGAATGACTGTTGTTGACTGAGTGCCACCAAATGGCAGACCGAATGGCAAGTCGCTGGCTGTTCGACACTTCTTGCCACCTCTGTTGACAATAATTTGGCATTAAGCATTATTTATTTACCGGCCGATAGTGGTGGCCTGCTGTTGATAGCGACAACTCCTTGTGAGTGCTTCTATTTGGTTGTAAGTGTGTGTGTTTCGGCTGTGTGTGCGGGTGCGATAAGCAAATTAAAACTGATATCGCAATAGACAAGGTGGCGGTGGGCAAGGCGAGAAGTGAACAGAATCAGAGCTTCGGAATCGGAATGGATATCAGCTCCACAGCTCTACAGAATGCCGCAGGCACCCAAAACAAGAGGGAATTATTTAGCAAGAACAATTTGCATATTCAAGAGGGATATTAGCTTAGTCCTTCAGCCCACAAATGCACATACATTAAATGCCACAAGAAGGACTGCAAGTATCTCAAGAAATGTGGGGAGCAAAACCAAACATTGCAGTTGAATTTATAACAAAGTTACTTTATTTATTTTGTCTTCTTTCCATGTTAACAAATTTCAACAATTTAAATAAAGTAAAAGTTAAATTGTATTTTTAATGATATATTTGCATTGATATACATATGCATACATAAAGATTTACTGAAGTTTATTGCTTTTGGCAACCCTCCTTTATATGGCTGCAGGTTAATCACTTTTCCTCTTTTAATTATCTATTTGTTTCAATCAATTTTTTAGATAGCAGCGGTGTATGAACCCGAGCCTCTTTGCCTTTTTGTGATTTTTCCATTATTTCCTTTGTGAGTTGACTTTTTAAAGAGTTTCACGAAAGTGTTTGACAAAAAATTCATTCAAAAATTAATTTTATATAGTACAAAAGTCCGTCATTTAAATAAATATTGATTTTACCAGCTATGAACTAGTTTCCCATGAATTATAAGCTGAATATTTATGAAAACAGCTTTTCTTTTTTGATTGAAAAAATTTTTTAAAATGCATTTAAATCCCCTGAAATAAATTGCAACTTTATACTTTTCCAACTGTCAGTTATATTTATACTTAATCCCAACGATTTGGTGGGCTTAGAGCCATGCAATTTAAAGGGTATTGACAGGTTCGGCCTCCCATCGACACCATGCTTCCTGGGGCTTTGAATGCTGACGCGGAATAGTCATAAAAGAGCTTATCACACTCACATGATAGCAATCTGGCCGAAGGGGCTGACGGCGCGGATTGGAGGGAGGGGGCTGAACTTTTACTTTTTTATGCTTTATAGTTTATGTGTAAATATTTACCTAGCCTGGTGACGTACCCAAAGGTGAGACTGATTAATTGGATACGATGCAGGGCCTACGGTCGTCGCTGTCTGCCAGGGGCAAGGTATCGATCGGCCCTGGATGGAATGTGTCATCCCGCCAGATAACGGTCTTGAGGTCTTGGTTATTAATATATATGGTATTTGGAGAGTTCTTGAGTTCTATATTGCGGGACATCAAGTGTATTTTGAGGGGCTTTGGGCCCGAAAATAGATTTATGAACTCATTCCGCCGAATGTCGTCCGGGATTCCGGCCAGAAGCCCCCCTTTCAGTTGCGATCAGGTGCTGGGAGCCCGCGCCTTTGGCGGCAACCCATCAGCGTTGACCACGATAAGCCCTGGCGTTTTTATGAGCACTTTGATTGATAATCTAATTCGCAACTCAATTGCAAACTTTGCACGAGCCAAAGAGCTCCTAATCTCGGGTCTTGGCCCGCTCCCACACGCGTTTCCATACCAACTCCCACTTCCATTTCCATGACAATGGAAGCAATCAGGCTAGGAGCTTCACCCTTTCATCCGAAGTGAACCGGAGTGAAGCGAGCTCCAAGGGCTAGGACAACCCAAAACACTCAGCTGAGATAAACTATTTGTTCAAAGGCTGCAAATTGAGTTCCCAAATCCAATTACTTTATTGGACTTTGTGTGGCCGAATAAAATTATGAATTTCTAATTGACACTGAGTAGAGAGCTCATCCTTTCATCCACTGATCGAAGCTAACTTTATACACATGTTTCCGCTGCCTTTGGCAGAGTCATCAATCAGAGGAGCCACACCATCTCCGGCATTGGATAAAACCGTATCATTGATGTTTGCTGGGTGTCCACGGAAGATTTATTTCACACTAAAAGTTCACCCCGATAAACAATGGAGAAGAGTGGTGCTTTTTTGTATACATATTTACATACGCTTGGCTTTTGGTTGTGTACAGTGAAGTAAAAGTATTATTAGATAGTTTGTTCACCTTGTTTAATTAAATATTTTACTAAAGAGGAATGAAATTGTAATATAAATATATAAAATTCTTTTCAGCTCAATTTTATTCAAAGAATTCAAAACTATTCATTATGTTAAGCTATAAAATTTTCGGAGTCCTCTGTAAAGATATATCTTTTGGAATAAAACGAATCATTAATACTTATTGCACGATTTTCGCAATGGAAATATGAACTTTCCTCTAATGATTGTATAGTTAAAATTATGTATGTGGCTTTACGAATAAAAATAAATGTTTTTCTTGGCTGAGTTATAAGTTTTTTTAACATAGATTTTTCGATGAAATTATCTTATAAAATACCGGTAAATATGAATTTAAAGAATGTGAATATTTTAAGCTTACTTCTAATCGATTTCCAGGTACATAAACTTAGGCTAACCCAAATATAGTTGCCTTTATTGTTATATGTACACATTTTTTGTTCAATTAAATGTTATTTAATTTATAATGGTTATTTTTATTACAATGAGTAAGAAATGCTTTCAGCCAGGCAGAAATATAAATTTAATATAGAAAAATAAAAATGTATTCTCTAAACAAATATTATTAACCTTGACTCTATTGTTTTATGTGTATGCTGCCGCTTTATGGCATATTTGTTAGAGATTTTCCACCATTTTTGTCTGCTTGACAGCTGGTGGCCTTCACCTTATTCGGCTTTAATTGACCAAGCACCATTTTATTTGCGTTATTAAGAGATTTTTCCGGAAATAATTCCTAAAAGAGGGCACTTCAAGTGATATAATTGCAAGGCCGGCGGCAGAAGTGACTTTTAGCAAGAAATTTGCGTTGTGTTTTTGTTTTTTGGAATGTTTGGCTTTCTTTTTTTACACTTCCAGCCAACACCTACGAGATGAAAGAGAGAGCAAAAAAACGGCTAAATTCCATTGCAATTCAAAATGCATTTTTACACCCACACCAGCATCCGGCTTCCGCTGAACATTTGTTGCCATTTGTGGCTAACACGGCGTATGTGTAATGTGCAACGTGCAATTTGCAATTTGCAATTCGCAGTGTGTGCAGCACTAAAATAATATTTCATTTGCATTCAGCAAACAAAGGGTGATTGTGGGATGAAAAAAGAAGGAGGAGGAGGTCCTGCCAAAGGACCCTCTGACGCTGACGTCAAACAAACAGTCAGATAATACAAGTCACTATATTTATTGAGACTGTCGGGCACTTATTTGTCCTCTTTATTTGGCAGTGGCATCGAGGTGTTTAGCGTGAAAGCATTTATCCATTACCCTCGGGCCACAGACCCCTACCCCTGCACAGGACTTCTCTGAACTGGGTGAAGGTGAAGGGTCTGCAGGACGAGGGCCCTCCTCCACCTGAAGTGGCTCCTCATCACGCTGTTTACTTACTTAATGCAATCGCTTTCCCGGGCAGTCCTCCGCTTTCATATCAAAACACTTGGCATTGTTTTATTGACACAAAAAGCCCTTATTATATTTATTGCTACCACTATTATTGTTGCTTCTGTTGCTGTTGTTGTTCACGACACTCGAGTGGCACACACTGTTTAAACTGTGACTCCGTAGAGTGCACTATAAAAGTACTACTGCAGTTGCACAAACTTATTCACTTTCCCCGTGCAAATATCTTTTTCCCGGCGTGACGAACGCCTCGCAAAAATTCAAATTTACGTTATCGGTTATAGGTAAGCCGGCGGCTGATCAATCGCTCTCGGAATCGGAGCCGGAGTCGGATTCGAATTCGGATTCGGATGATTGAAGACCCACACACACGCTGTCGGTCGGTCTTCGGCGGATGGAAAAGCTCATGTGCGACGGACGACCGCCTTGGTTGAGCGCTTGAGAAAAACTGACGCGACCGAATGCGACTCCAATCGGTCGGAGAGTCAACGTCGCAATCGTGGTCGTCGGTGGCACGACCGTGGTATCTGTCCCTCCGGCTTGTCAGTGGGACACAGTTCCAGTGAACTGTGGATCCCAAGTTGGCGGGCAACGAGCGCAAACACGCGACTTTTTTGAACGCAGCGCGGGCGGTAAGTAATCCTGCCCTGCCTGCCAGCCTGCCAGCCTTCTTCTGTATTTAAACAATTGTGCAAACAGCCGCGTCCAGTCGAAATTTGAATATTCAAATGCTGGTGCTGGAGCAAAGCCCAGTTAATTCCCCGAACAATGTTTAATTAAGCCGAGGAGGGACAAGTCGTCTAGCTCTGTGCTACGGAGCACCGGCGATCCCCGCCAAATCCAGATCCCGTGCCGACGAGAATTTTACGAGAATTTCCAAATGAAAACATAAGCGATTTCGCGGGTACTCAGGAAATCTAAATTAAGACTTTTATGGTAGCCTTATAGACATAGGCATAGATATAGCGTTATAGCATTATAGCGTGCACAGTCGGCTCTATCTCTATATCTATATCCATATAAATATATACATATATATATATATCTTTGCATATATGCGCCGTGCCATTGTTTGTACATTTTATAACGTGCAGATGCGTCTCCATACGGATTTCGCAAACGCTCTTACTACGCCCTCATAATGAGTAGTGTCAACAGCTGGCGCAGGTTAAGTTTGGTTGTATTCGATTGCCTTCCACACAGGTTCATTGTTCAAGGTGAATGCGATCCACACACAGTCGTGTCCCAGCTGGATTGCACTGTGCCTGCTTCTGGGGGATAAACAAAGGCATGCGCCCTGACAGCTTCCGAAGGGGAATCCCCGAGTGGAACGAGTGGAAGCTGACCGCCAATTAAAAAGATTAAAAGCATGAACTCAAATTTTTAAAATATTTTCGATTGCTTTTTTTAAGAAGTGAGTTTAAATTGGGTTTGGGTTTCAAGATTATGAATTAGTTAAGAAAGTACATTATTTTCTAATTTCCTTTTCTTTAAGCATAATACTCAAAATCTTGAAACTAATCATTGGAATATGAAATATTAGCTTTTTGACAATTATTCTTTATACAAAAATAGAAAAGCTTTGTAATATTTCTAATCTATAGTATTTATCCCATTTAGAATATAAGGAACCCAGAATGACATTTATAGCTCCTGGAATATTTTTAGATTTTACCTATTTTCCCGTCCATAAATAGTTTGATTTTAATGGGCAACTGGATTATAGGAAATTTGCTTTGGTCATCAATCAGACGATAACAAAATAGGAATTTATATTTTTAGACTTTGCAAACCAACAAAGAAGTAATCAACGATCATTACTCATTTCAAGGCTTAACCTTGATTACCATAAATTGATACTTTTGACGTACAAAAGAACGGTTGGGAAATTACAAAATATATATGTACATATGTATGTATATATTTTGGCGAAAAACCAATCACAAGGTGATATCAATATGTCGGTTTCATAATTGTAAGAAGAACTTTAAGTAAGAACTTTATAAATTATGCAAGAAATTAATTGTTCCAGCAATAAGATTTATTTAAAGTAATAAGGGACTTACTAAGTTAAAAATACTTTAAATAAAATCCGTATATCTTAACTTTTATACAATTTAAAAATAATGGAATACAAATTAGTCTTAATAAAATCGTATCTCTGATAACTGTTGAAACTTCAAAAATTATATTAATTCGTTCATTTGCAAGAATCTTATCAATTACAATTTAATAAATAAAACTACTTGGAAGTTTGACATTTTGTACAACTTCTTTTCATTTCCTTCAGCTGGTCAAAGGCTTAATAATAAATGTACCTAACAAAGTCCTGTCTCGTGTTGCATAGTTTGCGGGATGGCTTGTTCTTCCAAATATGTCACGAAACCACAGCATACATCGGGGCTGAGGCTGGCTGTTCCTGCCACTTTAGTTAACCATTTGCCAAAATCCAGCTCGGGGCCACCTGTAATCTCCTTAACAGATTGAGCTCTGACCGGCGGGCTGTGGTAAACACTGGTTGGACATCACTTAGATTGATTAAATGCGAGAAATCCGTGCGGTTCGGGTACGTGACTCGGCCGTATAGAGTAGCGTAATTGGTGTCTATGCAAAAGCATTTATCCCGAACGGGACCACCGGGCAAATCTGTCAAGGGGTAGAGGGTAGTGAGGGTAAAGGGTAACGTGTAAATGGTATAGGGTCACAGGACCCGAAAAATCCTTCTCAGCAAAGTTTTGCAACATCATTTAATTATCAAATGCACGTACATAAGTGAGTTTTGCAGTGACAGGAAGGTCTCTCGCGCGTCACTCGCTTCCGTTCAACCAAAAACGCAGACCGATACAACCATTTCCCTTCTAAACTTCAAGGATTCTAAAAGGGGGTTGCAGAAAGTTTTCCACCAACACAAGTTTTGGGGGCACAAAAAACTTTCCATTTCTATGCAACAGACTTGGCAATAGCATTGGCAATGGCAATGCTAAATTGAGTTTAACAATTTGTCTTAGAGGCACTTGCAGTGGATTCAGTAATTGCCTGACAAATCGCATCCCCACTTGTTGTGGTCCATGACACTGGCAGCTACACTAGGACACCATTACGCGAGGACATTAGGAAACCATTACACTCTCAGTTGCATATATGTATATCTCTGTATGTACATATCGAGAGAAATTCGCAGGACACGACAATTTGTCGCCAAATGTCCTGGCCACCATGTGTTCGCCAGCGTCATAAACTTTTAATTTCGCCAGCATAATTAGTCTGGGGAAATGGCAGGACGGAAGCCCTATGTGCCAGCTTCTATCGCACTTCCAGACCCTCGACAAAATCCCATTTAAACACGTGAAGAAATGACCATATAATTACAAAGGTATTTAACCATATTAAACAAAAAAAGTAATTTGTTACCGTTTAATTGGTTTTACTATTGAATCATTAGAAGTTTGTTTTATTTTACTCATTAAATCAAAGTTATTATTATTAAAAGCTAATGATTTTTAATACTGGAATAATGTATGTGTTAGTGTTTAATTTATAGATATAGAAACTACATTATTACTTCTTAAGTAATTATAACTTTTAACTAAATATATTCATAGTTTAATAAGCTTCTAATGGTGTTATCTAATACTTAAAGATCCAGAGGTTCGAACCTTATATATAAATCATTTAAAATTATTTAGAATACTAATGTTATATTATTTCCCATATTGTCTGATTCATTTCTCGTTACCTTCTATTTCTTTTTGTGTCCCCAGTCTGTGTTAAAGTTGCTTTTAATTGATAGGTGAACGAACCCGCTGGGTCCCTAATGTATGGCTATGTCGTGGACTCTTAGAGACGGCAAAGGCCAGAAGCTATTAATAATTTCAATCAATAAGCGTAATATTATTCGCGTCAACTGGATCAGCGCCAGGAGCGCCAGGATGCAGGGACCAAGGAGCAAAGGGAGGCCAGCAGCAGACAGAGAGTGTGCTCCGATTACGGTTACCAGGCACAAACACACACAAGTATATATAAATATATTTTAAATTTGATTCTCGAGCACCCTCGACTTTTGCCATCTTCCTTTCAATTTATTGTTCTCTTCGAGAGCCCCGCCATCCTGCCAGGACCATTCCGGGCCGGACTTTCCGGCCATTGTCCGTTAAGCAGATTTCGGGCTTACACTGCGCGTTGTTGGGAAATTGTGGAAAAAGCATACAAAGAACTCCGACCTTTGAAGGCAGCTTAGTTGCCTGAGGAGGAACGCTGCATGCAAATACACATATATAAATAGTTGTGGAAAATTCGAGTGCCAGCCTCATTCGCATTCCGCTACCAACCAGCCAGTGGGTGGGCATTAATTGGTTAATCAAGTTTACAACTGCCAAAAATCCGACTGGTGAAAATGGCAATTTCGGCCTGTAACCAAAAACTGGGGACGGAAGCTCGGTGAACAAATGACTCTTGGGCCCCAGAACCAGACCCAGACCCCGACTGTTGTTGTGTCCCACGCACAATAACCGCAAAAGCCGCACAAATACTAAATGCGCTGACCACGGGAAAAACCAGAAAACTGAAAACCGAAAAACCGAACACAGAGCTAGCATTATTAGAAATTACGAGGCAGGGTCAGGCACAGGAAGCGCACTCGAGAGGCGGATTCGAGAGTACCCCCGAGGGGAATTATGCGCATATGAACAGAGATAATCTATTTGTAAATAAATAAAAGCTATTGGTGCCGCTCACATTTTTGGAATTTAAAACAGGCACAGCATACATATAAATAATGCAATTTTATGACTGAGAATAATAGTAATAAACCAATAGAAAGTATTTGTCGCAAATATTTTTGATAGGAAACAAATAAAGATAAAAGTAACACTCTAGTGTGCTCGACTGTGAGAATTGGGTATCTCATACCCATCCTAAAATTGATAACAACACTAAATCATTTTTTTGTTTTAGTATTTTTTTTTATTTTATAGTATGATGTAAACAATTTAATAACCAAACATTCGCAAGAAAATATGTGGCAAGGTGAATGTGTCTACCAACAAGTTTAGCAACATTTTTAACTTTGAGTATAAATCTTTCTATGATAGTAATTTAAAAATATAAAATGTACAATTTTTGCTAAATTTGTATATTTATAGATCTCAGATATCTCCTTAATTCTTCCAGCTTTAATAGCTTTAATAGCTTTAAATGGAAACAAAGTTGAGCGAAATGCAATCCCATGGCAATTACAAGGTGAAAACTAAAGGATTAGCGGGAGCTCAGCTCAATGACCGGGAGAATAAACAAACAAGGTTAAGCCCTTCCTTTGGCAACTGTTTGGAATGTACACACTCTACATATATACATATATGATATGTTATCCGGTTTAAGGTGCTCCTCTATTTAAATTTGGAGACCATTGCCAACCTGATTGGGAAATGGTTGAGCCTCGCACTTGGTGGCTGAAAAATCCATTCGACTGCCGGACTGCCCGACTGATGGCAGCCATAAATAATATCACACGAAGTTTAAAATGTAATAATGAAATTTATTAAGAACTTATGCGGAGTTAAAACACCGAAGACCAACAACGACCTTCGTCCCAGACACACTCTTTTGCGCAAGGAGCGTGATGAAGGAGGATTCTCACGTCAAGCAAGGAGAGCAGAAGTCCAGATACTCTTGCGAGTTGGTAAGTCCTTAAGTTCACTGAAAGTTGAGCGAAAGTTGGCAACTTTTGCTCGGGCGAAACTTTTCCCCCGGATGCCCGAGTAATGGATGTGGCGAGCCGGAACAGTTGACCATATGGAAGGGTATTATGGTAGCGTAATTTACGCAGCATGTTGCCACACACATGTGGCCAAGCGCATCGAGGTGGAGCAGGGCGGAGGACGAGGCACACATAAAGGCTCGTCTCTTCCGTCTGACCGACCAGCTACGCCTCCGGATACCTGCCTGCTCCCCCCGATGGCCCTTCCTCCGCCATGGAGTTCCATGGCCAAACAGCACTTACGTAAATGCCTTACGGCACAAGTTTTCCCCTTTGTTGTTGTTCGTTTGGATGTTTTAAAAGTCCCGAATAATTGAGTTTTACGCATAATTTGCTTGATTTTATTTTACTTACGGCTGTCGCCCCCGGTCTTCTCCTGCTTTTGCTCCTGATCCTCCCCCTCCCGGAAAAGCTGCCGCGTGTGCAGTTGCCGCAAAGGTAAACAGAGCAATCAATAGCCCAACTTTTTCCTGTTACTGTTTCGGTTTCGGTTTATGCCACAAGGCATTATCCTAACGCAATGTGAATGTGCCCGGCGTAACCAGGATTATCGTAATCCGAATCGGATTGAAATCAATACATTGCACCATGCAGTGGTGCTCGGTTTTGACAAACACTAATTAAAATAAATTATTTAAATTTGAGCACACAGACGGACTAAAGCACAGATTAAAATACCCGCGTGTACAACATAAATCCATTTATAATTAATTTTTACAAATGAATGCAATAATTAAATATGCGCGCATCGAAATCCACGTACCATCCAAACTAAATGGCGGCGCAGAGCAATTAAATGATGGATTATAAATTATATGGTAACAGATACAACCAACATAAACTAGTTAAATTAATATTAAAATTATAGTTTAGAAACTTGAAAGCTGCCAAAACTATCCCCACTTAGATATACCATTTAAAATTGTTAAAATAATTATAATACAATACTTCTCCATTTATGTATATATATTTATTTCTTTAACACATTTACAATTTATTATTGAACCTTACAATGCAGCTTGGCAAAGGGGGGAATTATTGTTTTAGATTCTATTATTACAGCTCTTTTAGGGAGTTTTTACTCATTCGCGCCATTTTCTGCTCCAGCTCCCTCTCCGGCTCCGGCTCCGGCTTCCACTTCTGTTCCTGGCTTAAGCGCGAGAGCAATATCTCGAGTATATTGTATATATATAAGTATATATATTTAACACCTTGGTATTCGCAGAGGTAGGATAACAATTGTCAGATGTTCACTGAATATATATGAGAAAAATGCCTGCAATACATTTCAAAGGATGTGCTGGCGCCACTCAGATAAAACCGGGTGAAACCGCTCTCGGTGGTTCTGGTGTGTTTTATGTTAGTTAGTGTTGGATTGGGACTTGGAGGTGAAGGTGGAGGTGGAAGGAAGAGCAAACGGCTTAGCATACACTTGAAATACTGCACTGAACAATGATTAATGTTAATAACCAACCAGACTATAACATAGAAATATTCATACTTAAATTATTACAATTTGCTACCTTAGACAGATGATCGAGCTTGAGACGGCGACCGCCGATTGGCGAATCGCTTGAGTCGCTTGGGTTGAGGTGCGCACAACTTACAACTTACAAATAGGTATTTCAATTAGAAAAAATATATATGCATATTTAAGTATGTATTTAAAGAGTGTTGTGTGTGAGTGTGTGTTAAAGTGTAGTGTTTAGATGTTGTGTAGGTTTAACGTTTTGTACATGCCCAAAAAACTTTAGCAAAAACTTGAATATCACTCGTATGTATGTTAAAATTTGCAATTTTTCAAATTCAATTCTCTTGCATGAAATATAGGTTTTACAATAATAAACTTTATAAACGCCATTTAATCAGTTATCGTTATATATATCTATATATATATATGTACATATATATATATATATGTAAATGTATATGTATGTATATTAATTAATTGTATACAATAAAAATAGGGAGATGCTTATTAATTACGATTTTTACAAGCCTATCCTCGGCACGCGCACGTACCACATGCGAACGTAAGTGACATGACCCTTGAGTTTGAGTGGTTTTTGTAGATTATAAATTCGATTAATGCGCTCGGGTTCTAGGTTCTGAGTTCCGGGTTCCGGGTTCCGGGTTCCGGGTTCCGGGTTCCAGGTTCTTGGGGCTGGGATCGAACCTCAGATGGATAAACTCGTACACTATGCGTAGGTAGGTATGTATGTATATGCCGTAAGTCAACACATATTATATATATATTTATGAATTATATTATGTTAGACCTGTATTTTTCAATTCAAACGAACTTAGACCGAACTCTTAACACTTGATTAGGATTTAGATTTACAATTAGTCTGCCTGCTAAGCAATACAAAAATATCTATCGTACTCTTTGCCTTGGTGGAATCGTGGAATCTCCTTTCCTCAGCGTCCTCGTATCATATCTGCATCTGCTCGGTGCGATCTGTATTTACATTGAAGGGGCGAGCAGTTTGTGCTTCCCAAATCGATTTTGGCGCAGGAGTCGTACATATATATTTCTTTTGTTATTTTTTTTGGCACTAATTCAGTGGCCAGTCGGAGGACGACAGTCAAAAAATACATCGATCTTCGAGCAATCCATAATTCAACTATTCATCCCTTCGGTTATGTTTGTCCCTCAGTCCGTCACTCCTGTTAGCTAATCCTACTAATTTCCAGCTTAGCAGCTGCTGCCGATCCTGCAGGATCTTGCTTATCAATTATCGATTTTCGCTCGGCTCATAAAAACCGCCGGGCTCTCCACTCGTAAGCACTGGGTGACCTTAGTTGTTGTTCTTCCAGCGCGAGAGCAGAAGCCTCCAGCGGTTTTTACGCCTTCTGCTTCAAATTTGCCATATCAATAAATGGTTGGTGCTGTCCTCGCGGCCAGCGATCTCGCTCAGCGAGTTGGCTCCGGAGTTGCGGAAGTCCTCGTAGCCGTCGCCACCGGATATGATCAGTGTATTGTTCGTCTCCGACTTGGACTTGGAGTGTTTAATGGAGCTGTAAGCAAAGGGATTTATCAACTTGGCTCTGGTTTTCTAAAGCTTTTGACTTACCCCTGCTTCGAGTACTCATCACTGGTGGCACCATCCCGACCTCCTGCTCCTGGCGCTGCTCCTTCCAGCCCTGTGGTCTCCACGAAGGTGAGGAAACGCACGTGGCCTGTGTGGCCGTGGGGAATGCCAGTGGGCACAATATTAATGGCACCCTTCTCGTAACCCTGAGCCGGAATGGTCAGCAGGACGCCGGCACTAGTGCCGATCCAGATGAGATCCTTACAGCAAAGGAGCGAGGTGACACGCAGACATGCGGCCTTGTGCTGACGGATGATCTCGTCGCAATTGGAGAGCATCTTGTTTACGGCGGGGGCGAGATTAACTTCGGTAACCAGCTGGTGGCTGTATATAATATAGATAAAGAAAAGGATTATAAGAGAAATAGGATAATCTAGCGTTAACTTACCTATTGGAATGGAAACATTTAATATGTGCTGAGTTCTGTATGGATATCCACACATGATTGTTCGAGACTGTCATGTTTGTGATCGGTTTCGAGTCCGATGAAATCTGTATCTGATTGATGACCTGAAAAGCCAATAACAAATTTAATTAGAATTCTCAATCTTGTACTTTAATAAGCTTTCATACCGTTAAAGTCTCCACGTCCAGGACTTTGATAATGCCCTGAATGGAGCACCAAAGGCGGCCATTGACATTCAATAGCTTGGTCACCGGACTGGTGACCGTGCCAATGGAAAGGCAATGTGATGAGCAAGTATTCCAGGAGGTGGCTAAGTGAGTAGGCAAGTGTTAATCAATTCGATTTTATATTTAATTATAATTATATTTAAAATACTTACCACCATCTCTCAGGTAAACACAGATATCACCATTTGCTAATGACACAAACACTCGATTGTCCAGGTACCTTAAAATAATTCATCGCATAATAATTAATTAATTAGCGATATTTTAAATATTTCTGATTTGCTTACAAAATGGAATAGACGGCCGAATGGTGCTCGATCTTGATGCGATTCTTCTTAATGCGAATATTGTCAGTGCTATTGTAGACATGGATGCAGCCGTCTTCGGTGCCTATCCACATCGTTGATTGATTGCTCTCGCCTTCCTCCGGATTTGAATCCTGCAACAAAATGACACACATGGTAATACGAAGACATGGAACTTCAGCTGAGATAATCTAACCTGATGCCCATGATATGAGGGCGCAGGACTAGGCACGCGTTCCGACAGAGTTGCACCAGATCCCGCTCCAGTGTTTCCACCAGCCACGTTCAGTGTGGCTGCTGCCGCTTCCGTCTCATCCTCACTGGAGCTCAAGTTCAGTTCCAATTGAGTATCACTGCCGGTCGCGGTCGTGCCATCCGCAGCATCTCCTCCAGCCACCGGTGTCGGAGTGGGAGTGGTCTTCTTTTTCTCGGGCGTAGCCGTCGCCGACGTTGAGGCACTCTGAAAGCTCGGGGAGATGCTCTTCCGGTAGTCACGCAACTGTTGCGTGTAGCTCTGCTGTTGCTGCTGCGGCGGTTGCGGGGTATTTCGCTTGTCCTTATCCTCCTGACCACCGGGTGGCTGCTCCCCACTGCTGTTACGACTAGAGGCCGCCGAGCTGTAAGCCGGCACAGAGGCCACGCACAAGATGCGAGCATTGCAGACACCGTTGCAACTTGTGACATTTGGCTCCGGATGCAGGGACATGATGCACACCTGACCCACGTAGCCATCGCTGTTGCACACCCACACGTCCCGATTGTCGCTTAACGTGGCCGCCGCACAGGTGAACTGGAGGCCAGCACGGGTCTTGCGGATGGGTATCGAGGTAAGGAACTCGGGGATGGGATGACGTTCTAGCGTGGCAGCTGTAAGGGGGAAACCAAAAGGTATTACAAAGATTTTATTTAGTGCCTTTAGGGGAAATATTTACCCAGCTTCTGCTTGGCCTCGTTGAAAGCCTCCTCCCACTGGGTGCGCTTCTCCGTCTTGTTAAAGACCACGGTCAGCTTCTGGTTGCCATTTCTGAAGCAATAAGTTAAGAATCAGATATTTTACTCGATGATCATTATTATTTGCATGAGTTGAGTTCACTTACGGAGAACTGACTGTCAGCTCGAGCATATTCAGCTGTGTGTCGTTTGTCTGGCGCTCGGAGAGCTGTCGCTGGACTTCGCGGTGGAGCTCGCGGATGGTGTCTTCCATATACTGATGCGGGTACTTGAGGGAAACGGCAATGTCGGTCATCTGCTGCAGCTTATTACAGTCGTCGGCCAAAGTCTCGATTTCGCTGACAATGCGCTTGATGTTTTCGTCTTTGGCTAAGGGACAGAGTAAAGCCTTAATTACAGATCCAAAATCCAGAAGAACAAACATCTACTCACACTTGACAATCTCCAGGCAGTCCAGCGAGATCTTGGTGAGGAACTTGTACTTGTTGGTGTCCAGTGTTGTGGCCACTGTTCCCGGGCAAATGCTGCTATTGGGCTTGCGAATAGTGCCACTTCGTTTCTTGATGCTCGTGAGTACAAGCAGGTCATTGAACAGGAAGAAGCCACGATCCTTGCGAGCTCCCTGTCCCGATGGCATGGAAACCAAGTCGAAGAGCAAGAACTGCCTTTCGGGTGCTATCAGATCGGTAATTCCCTCAATGACGCCCTCCAGTTCCCGAAGTGTTGCCTCCCGCTGGCCATTCTCCATGATTTCGCGTTCCTTACAATTAATGTGAACCAGAATGTCATGGACCAGCTTGAGCACGTCCTGTAAGTGCTTCGTGTCCGGATGATCGTGATCCGTATGCTTGATCAATCGTTGGAACAGCAGTTCGTAACTGGAAATAAACAATGATATGGTTTATATTAAGAATGGACATTTTGTTTCAAAAGGAGGAACTCACTTGGGAAATTTTTGCACGGGCTTGATGAGCAGATTGTCCAGGGTGAGCTTGCCCTTGTGCTCCCGGGCTGTGGACTCCAGAAACTTGGAGAACGAGGGTCGCTGGTGTTTCATAGAGCGTATGGCATTCTTGGCCCGATTGCAGTTGTTTACAAAGGATGTATATACCTCCAGGACCTCTAGCTTAGAGAACTGAAGAAATATAAATATAAAAATAATATAAATAATTTAGGATCCTTAAAAGTTGTATCAATTAACAAAGCTATATTTTACCGTTTCCATGAAGGCATCGCCCACTTTCTGATGGACATCCCAGTCGTCAAGACGCTGCTTCAGATCCCCCAAAAACTTTTCGTGTATCTCCAGGATGTCGGGCACCATGAAAAAGATTTCGTCCACAGTGCGGGTGTCAATCATACCAGCGTGTTCCGGAGCCTTCAGCACTTTTAGATACTTGACGACCACCGTCTGTAAGGACTCCACGTAGGTCTGCTCGTTGCGATAGATCTCCTGGACCACATAGGTTCTTGTATCCTGCAAGGATAAGAAGGAATAAGGGTGAAGGGGGGGCAATGATTAGATATTGATGCGCATTGAAATGTGTACAAATTGATGGTTGATTGCGACCAGACTTACGCCTTCATAGCCGCCCAGATTCCATTTACTACTCATCTCGAACTGCGCCCGCCGCTCGGAGTCGTCCTCCGAGTCGGAGCAGGTTATCGAAGTCATTTTCTTCAGCCTGTCGCACTTGTCGTTCTGATAGCCACTCCCTGCCCCGCCACCTGAACCGGCAGCCGCCCCGAATCCCGCCTTGCTCAGCCGCGCCACCGTGGTGGTGGCCATGGACACCGCCTGCGAGACACTGCTGCCGCCCAGCCCGTGTCCGTGTCCGATTCCAATCCCGTGGCTATTACTGCCGGTGCTGAGGTTGCTACTGCTGTTGCTGTGAGAGTGGGAAAGGGTTTGGGATAGCGACTGGGACTGGGAGTGGGTGTTACTGCTGTTGCTGGTGTTGCTGCTGCCACTTGGCAACTGTTGCGAGTGGGCTTGGATCTGGGACTGGGAGGTAGCCTGAGCTTGGTTTTGGGCTTGGGGGAGCAGGGCGGCGGCAACGGTTTGGGAGGGCGCCGTCAGGGTGGCCTGCAGATCCAACAGGCTTAACCGTAGATTCTCTCGATTGTGCGACATGCTCGGAATGTTGGAATGTTGTATTTTATAGTGTTTTATTTATTATGCTATTCTTGTCACTGGTTCACCACCACACTGGTTGTTTCACTGCCGCAACGTCACTGAAGCACTGGAGCACCGCTGGAGCATACTGTATGTTGTTTCAGAAACAAGAGAACGAGCCCACGTCTGGTCTGGCTAAGTAATCCAAGCCGACTGAAAGTGCAACAAGCCGCTGCCAGCCACCACACAATGCAGCTGGCCGAGGATGTTGCACATAACATCTGCATCCACACACACACACGCTTACACTCACACAAGTTTTCAGGCAGAACAGCCTGCGTAGACGGCGAGTGGGAGAACCACTTGCCCACGTTCTACATGCCCTGCATGTGCACTTGAAAAAACAAAAGTTAATGAATGATTTTACCTATAACTATCACATATCACGAGTCGCAAATTTACAAAGAAATGTAAAATATTTTTATCAAACGTGTTGGAATACAAACAAAAGTATTTTTATGGGTCATTAATGTGGAGGATTTTTGGTTAAGGAATAGTTTGCGTGTTTATAGCTTATTCTCCTTTTTTTTAGTAGAAAACATTAAAAAATTTTAAATTTCTAGACCCTTAATAGAGATTCTATGCCTTAAAGGAATTCACTTTGATTTTTGCGACTGTAAGTGACGTTAGAGAGCCCACGAGTCACTCACTCACTCACTCACTCGCACTCACACGCGCTCACAGGGACAGCCTTGAGCACTCCCCAACCACAGGAGTCCCCCCCGGGCCAACGAATCTCCTGCACTGCACAAGTGTCTGTGCGTGCGCTGTGTCTGTGTGTGATTTGATAATGACACTGACCATGTTGTTGTTTGCCTTTGCTGACTGAAGGCCAATAATGCGCAAAGGAAAACAAGGCGAAAGCGTGGGTTAGAGCATGAAAAATAGAAAATAGGAGAAATAGGAGAAGAAAGCCAGGCAGTGTGAGCACAGCAGTTGCTGTTCGGTTCTGTTTTCGTGTTTTCGTTTCTGCAAATCACGGTAAGCGGCTGTTCAGCTGTGTTGCGTTTTACTTTATGGCCATTTAATTGCCTGATTAGGAAAGCGACAAAGGCCAGGCGAGCAACATGTTATCACGCACACAAACACGCAAGCAGCCATGTTACGCCGCTGATGATAATGATGATGATGGCGGTGAGCTTGTTGCACCGTTATGTATGTGGCTGTGCGTTGTGCAGCATACATTTGTGCGCAGTTTAGATGGCGCTGGCAGTTACCGTTACGCTACGTTACGTTACCCGCTGCATCCAGCCACAATTCCATTTTACATTTCGAAACGATTGCACACATATACACACACACACGGCAGCGCACACACATGGCGGAGAGCTGGCAGGTAATTGATTTGCTCTCTCCTCTCCAACGTCGCCGTCTCGCTCCCACTCGCCTGGGTTACTGCGGATAAGTTGAGAGTTTATATTTGCACTCTATGTATATTATTGGCGTAACGCGGCGCAACAAGAGGTTGGCCTTGTGCAGTCAGGTACACATATTCATACATACACACATATACACACGCCCGCCCGTTCGCAGAGATGAAAAATTTAATTCGAATAAAATGAAAAGTGATTTTTCTTCTGCTTTGATGGATGTCTCGCGAATCTCGGAGTCTCGAGACATTTTCCCACGCACATAACACAGCCACTCGCACACACAAACGTACAGGGAAAGTGAATCAAACAGACACAGCATAGCAGCACTCCAGCGATAAAATATTTTTTCGTTTGGTAAATTACGATTCGTTTTAATTATTCCGTCTTTGCTCGCCGCCCCGTCTTTTGTTTGTTGCTTTTACACGGATTGCAGCGGATTCCTGGCTCCCAAAAAATAAATAACAAACGCAACGAACGAACGAACGAAACATGAACAATTCCGCCACACAATGGTCGTAGAAAAGCAAATAAGAATTAAAACACACGGCGCACAGTGGTCTCTTTAGCCTTTCTCTGCTCTGCCGCGGTCGCTGCTGCGGCTGGTGCTGCTGCCACGGCTTCTACTGCTGCTGCTGCTGCTGCGCGGGAGAGCAGCCACAGTGGCACTCCTGTTCGCCGCCACTCAACTCGCCGAACACATTCCATTGTGCCATATACACACTTAATTTCCATTTTTCATATTCCAAGCGCAATGAAAAAACAACCCCACCACCCCCACTCCACTCACACTCCCAAAAAGAGTCCAGAGAGACACCCGTGCCACCCACTGTGGGCGAAGAGAGACCGAGAGAGAGCTTTGGGAAGCATAGCAGACCCCAGGAAAACCGAGCGTAGGAGAGAAGTTTGTGTGTGTGTGGGGGCAGGCAGTACCTACAAGGTACATCAGAAACGTGCTTGGTAAATTTTAGATTTCGGGTTTATCTGCTTTGTAGCAAAACATTAATTATCCATGTGAACGCTAAACGAGAGGCAGGAAACCAGCTCGTAAACACACTCCTCGCACCGCCCCCACAAAACTCTATATGGTGCGCTAGTCTCAGCTGTTTCTACACCGTTGGAATGCCATGCGCCGCTCTCAAACTAGAGAGAGTCCTAGTACGCAGGGAAAACAAGAGTTCGATTTGCATGCGACAAGTGTCAGAAATCGAATTTGCCACAAGATCTATTCCAATCAATTTAAGAAACACGTAAAGGACATTATAGAAACAAACAATTTATTGGTAAAAAAATCAACGAGCGAAAGTTATTATTGTATCCTGTGACCTAAATACTTTTTACCCAATTAAAGCAAGCTAAATCCTTACAAAAAAAGTCATACAAAAAGTGTAAGATGAAGGGAATATGTTTCACTTGCTTCATATTTGCTATAGCCTAAAAATAGTACCCTGCGACCACTGTGCCTGGAATGGAGCGGAATAGAACGTAGGGAACCCAATGGTACTAAATGGTACTAACACACTAACACACATTTCCAATGCGCACCGTTTTCTTTCTTTTCGTTTGGAGCATGCGCCTCGGAATTCACATGGCGCCGCTGCTTCTGCCGCTGCTCTGCCGCTGGCTCCCACACCCACGACATGCATTTCTACTTAGCAAGCAAAACAAAAACTTTGAGAGAGACTGCGAGAGTGTACAACAAGTCAGCAGATAAACAATGAGAGGAGGAAAGCTAACGATCGCGTTGATGCTTTCGCTATTGCGCTCTCCATTGGAACTGGAACTTTTTGGAAGTGCAAAGAGAACGAGAATTTTCTTCGAGGACCCTTCCTAGCCTTTTTCTGAAGCATACTTTATGGGGCAGCTTAGTTTGATTGCAAACCTTTTTTTAAAATTTAAAATTGTAAAAAGACCAAGCACAAAACTTTAACTTGTATCACAGTACAGAAGATGGAATTCCAAACTTTTGTTTGCCTGAAAAAGGTCAACTGTGAATTCTTAATTCAGATACAAATCTAGCTGAGACGTCTACTTCAATGCGAAAATATCTTGTTGTGGGTTTTTCTGCTTATCATATTTTAAATAAGAATTAAATATTACTTACCGCTATAGTCTTCTTCCTTTGTTCGGAGATCATATTCTCGCTGGATCCCTTGAGCAGCTCGGCCAGCAGAGCGGGCGTAGGCTTCAGGCCGGCCTTGCCACTTTCTCCGGATCGTCCCGATCCCCCAGCGGTCGCAGCAGATCCCTTATCCTTGGACTTATCATCTGGACTTCGCTTGGCGGTGTGATGGTGGCCGTGACTGTGACCGTGGCCACCGTGACTGTGGCCGTGACTGTGATGGTGATGCAGCTGGCTGGGACGCTCCGTGCTCATCGACTGGCTGCGCTTGCTGTGATGCGACTTGGGAGCCGGAGCCTCTGAGGCGGCGCGCTTCATGTGATGCAGCTGCTGCTGACCCAGTTCCGCCTCGGTTAGGTTCTTGGCGGACACGGAGATCTGGGCGGTGGCCGCGGTGATGGCCTTGCTGCCGTGCTCCAGCTGTGAGGGCGTAGAGGCCGCACGGGCGTGGGATGGCACCGGCAGATAGGCGCTCGATTTGCGCACCCGCATCGAGTTGGAGTACTGAGGAAGGTTGCGGGATGATCCGCCACTGGATCCACTGGATGCCCCACCAGGAGCTGATCCTCGCAGGTGCAAGCTGAAAAAGGGAAGCAAGTTTAGCTTGTTGTCTAAAATAACAACATTGCTGTTTCTCTTAGCTTGTAATCAAAATTGCTCTCGTTTATTTTTGCAGCCAAAGACATATTTATTCAATTGTATTTAATGACCGGCCTTAGAATGGCAATAAATTACTTGAAATTACAGATGCAGAAAACATAAACCATTTTTATATGGTATGTGACGTTGCACAAACAAGAGGAATCGTTAAAAAGCCGAATATCGATCTTATTTTTCTTAGGTAAATGAGTTTCTGACCTATTAGTTTGAATAAAAACGTGATGATAACTAATATATGAAATGTTTTAAGAGTTAATATATATCACTTTAAGTTTTATCTATTATTATATTATAAGAAACATTTAATAAAGATCTAGATCTTTGAATTATAAAACGATTCTTGAGGGAAAGCTTTATGTAAATCTCTTTTAAAAATGTATGTCTAATCTTGGGTGTCATTATAATATTAAATGCTAAACTAATAAATAAATTAATCATTTTGTATACACTCACCTGTCCGTCTCACGGAGTTCCTCGAGAATCTCCTCAAAGTGCATCCTGTTGGGCTTCTTCATCTCCGCCTCGAGCATCTGGCCGTAGGGACCCCGAAGTGGTCGCTTCGAGAAACGCTTGTAGTCGTAGTCACCACTACTGGGCGTGGGACTTGAGGTGATCCGCTCCCGTTCCCGCTCCCTGGCGGCCCGATCGCACTCGTTGTCCGAGGTGGAGTCAGAGCGCAGGTAGCTAAAGCTTCGATTGGAGGCGTCGTCCTTCTCCTCACTGCTGTGACAGCTGAAGTTGCTCAGCAGCTGGGCCTTGTCCCGACCCAATCCTCCGCTGCCCCAGGAAGGTGAACCCTTTTCCAGCTCCGGAGTGTTGAGTTCGAAGGAGTAGGAGCTCTGGGGGCTACTAATGTACATCTGTGAGGCGGAAGGCGTGCTAGGATCCGGAGATTCCGGTTTGATGGCATTTAAATTGGCCACATTAATGTCCAGAGCCAGACCACGATGTGGCGATGGCTCTGTGGGCGCCTGCCAGTCGGCATTATCTATGTACATCCCCTTGCGCTTGGTGGACTTATCCAGGTGCCTCCGTTGCCTCTCGTCCGTGCTGTGACGCGGCGTGGCTATGGCCTCCAGAGAGCTCCTGAGGTCCACGTTGGCCAGGTCAAGATCATCGTGGCTATATTGCTTGCGGTGCTGCTCCAGTGGTGGATTTCTGGCCGTGGTCGCCACTTCCACTTGCGGCACATCCTCGATCTTGGCCAACTCGTCGCCCTCCTCTGACGAGCGACTCACGGAGATGGTGGGCACCAAATCGCTTCTAACAGCCGTGGTTAAAGTGGACTGCGTTTGGGACACCTTGCAGGCGGCGTGCGGGATGGGTGGCTGAATGGTCTCTGGCACAATGCCGAACTCCTCGGGAGCCACCTCCACCCATTCCTGGGCAGGGGTCTCCAGCCACTCCTGGGCGGCACACTCGTACACTGGCACTGGGATCTCACAGGTGGTAGCTGTCTGCAGGAAGTTATCCGGCGGCGCCTCCAGTGGTACCTGCTCTTCCATTAGGGTGGCCAAGTTGGGTGCACTGCCGCTCACAGACGAGGCAGGTGGCGTAATCTCCAGGGTCGGCTGTACTTCCTCGCGAATCAGGCAGTCGCTCTCCGACTGAATGGTATCCGTCAGCGACTCCATGGTGGCGTGGGCGGCTATCACACTGCTGGCGGTGGCTGTCGGGAAGAGAATTCCCGAGCTGCCACTCGCCGCTAGCTCGTTGCTGAAGATGTCCTCCTCCTGAATGGCGTCGTGGTCCAGTGACTTCTCTTGCCCGTAGTTTAGGTTGATGCTTAGCTCCGTCCTCTTTAACGGTATGTGGACCCAGCCGGGATCCGTGGGAATCCTGCCCAGTGCCGTATCCTCCTCCCTGGAGTGCGTGGGACTGGGACTGGGTGCCTCGATGGCCTTGTCGCGCCTCAACCGATCCCGCAGGGCGCTCAGCGTGGACTTGCAGTCGATCTGCGAAAACGAGACGGAACGAAAGGGGGCTGCCTTCTGGGGGCTGCGCGATTCCGACTGCGATGTTAGCGCCGTGCTCTCGAAACTGGCACTGCCAGTGGCCGACGCATCTACGCATCTACGCTGCTGCCTCGGATGCTGATTCTGCTGCGCAGGTGGGGGCGGGGACTTGGACTTCTCGCGGTTGCTCAACATGAGGGCCTCCAGGTTGGAGAGACTCGTGTTCGGCCGCAGTGAGGCAAATAGGCGGGCGGCAGTGCTTATGCCTCCTCCTCCACCTCCTCCACCCGCACTGCCACCGCTGTGAAGAGGCCGTGTGGCGTCTTCAGCTCTCAGGTGAGTGCTACTGCCCGCCTCCGATTCCGAGGTCTGACTAGCGCCCGTATCCTGGCGCTCCAGAGCGGAGGAGGCACGTGGCTTCCTAGGTGGCGGCACTGGCGGGGGCGGAGGAGGCGGCGGTGTGGGAGTTGAGGAGGCGCGGGAGCTGCTGCCCCCACCGCTGCCGCCACCCCTCAGCAGTTCGGTCAGCTCCCGGAGACGCTCCGAGCGCTCAGAGGTCTTGCGCTGCTTCTCCGGACCGGAAGTGGAAGCCCCGGAGGAGGATGTGGAGGCGGGGGCCGCTGGCGAGGATTTGCGCCCAAAGCCAAGGCGCTGAAAACGGTCCAGGGTATTACGTCGTTTTTCCATTGTGTGCTGAACGTAAGAGGAAAGAGAGGTATAATTCCAGTTAAACGTTTATTATTCATCTGCGGATCCCCAATTCCGATTCCGATCCCTAAGCCCCATCCCGCCCCGTATCTTTTTATGGACTAGCAGTGGGCGTACGTGTGATTCCATTCCCCCTAGCCCTCGCCTTCACCCACTCCCATGCCCACCCCTCTCACCGAAGAAAAACAAACAAATCGCTTGGCGATTCAGTTCGATACACTAAAGCAGCAAACATTGAGTCAACGTCAACGCGGCGTATGTGTAATATCAATGGGCAATGGACAGTGGCAGTGGCAGTGGGAGCATTCGCTATCCCAAAGGATGATCTCTGGGCCTGGGCAATGGGATTGGAATGCTAATTGGAATGAGCATGAGCATTATGTATTCCCACATCCGGAACCCAGCCAGCATGATTATATTAGGCGCCTCATCATTCCCAGCGTCATTATAGCCCATATTCACTGCACAATGACACACACCTCACCACATCCCCGGCCAAAAACAACCAATGTCCGAGAACCGAGGGACGAGATGTGGGGGCTCCGTGGCGGGAAGAACACAATGTAAAACCAGCCAACGTTGCTCTCTCTATATATATAAGTATATGTATATGTATATATATAGCTGATTTGTGTATACATACGCACACAGTGATATTTTTAGTATAAACAACAGATCTCTGCCGCATATATAAAAGTACGTATTCCACATACAGACATACATATTTAAATCCCAATACATATAGATATATACGTATGTCTGTATGTATGTAGGTAGAACACACAAAAAATAAAAGAGATCTTTCGGCTATGACTGGGAATGAATGAGCGGATAGGCCAACTTACAATGCACTGGCCGAAATTGGGTTGAATATTAATATTCTCCATAGGATCCTATATCTCAAAATAGGCTTAAGCTACACAATAACTCCATATACATATCTTAGATAATAAAATACTAGGGATAGTCTGCTCCTTTTTAAAATAATAATTAATATCGTAACTAAACTAAAGTTAAATAAGTTTTAAGACCCTTTCTTTTAAGGTATTACATATATACCTTTCATGATCTTCTTTGATTGACTTCATTAACATTTTACTAATAAATATAATCATGCCTTTTATTATTAATCTTTAGAATGCTTTCTCCCAGTGTAGGCATTAAAAGAATCGTACAAATAACACAAAAGTAGAGCAATACTAGCAAAGATATCTCGGGCGGTGAGAAGAATTCTCGCAAACCAACACAAATGCACACCGCAAATCCCCACAGTCTCCCGATCTCTCAGATTGAGCGGCAGAACGTGCGATTCAGGTGGTGCCCATCCATCCATACATCCATCCATCCAGTCATCCATCCATTCTCTGGCCCAACTACTATCACGGAGAGAGATCTTTTTCCCCCATTGAAGGAAAAACAAACGTACGAGTAACTATATGATATATGGGATCAATAAAATCGATCAAAACAAAAGGTTTATGGCTGAAAATTGCACTCCCTGACAGTTGGTGTGATGAATGGTGGCCATTGAGTTATAGTGAATACAAATATACATACATCTATAATCGATGTGCTTGAGGTTGGTATTCTCTCTATTTCGGATATTCCATAATGGAGTCCAACCCTATCCTAACTCATCCTGAAATCAATAGATATTAATGATGTTATCTGATTTCACCTCATTATTTCATTATAGTTTTTTTTGTTAATCTCTAAGTTCCAAGTTGTAATCCTAATCCTTTTAATACTTTTAATATTTTCTTTCTATCTGTGTTTCAAAAAATAAACTTCCATATTTATGAACTAATACACTTTGTATAGTCCCGAGTACTTTCCTTTTGTAAATTCCTATCACCCAGAATCCTTGCTCACGACTTACCCCGTTTTCCTTGTTAATTTCAAATGGAGCTTCCACATGGAATTCGCAGTGGCAGGGCAGGTGTAAATTATTTCGCTTAGGCTGGATTTGATTGTGAGTCAAATTCTGGTTCGTTTGAGGATATATCGGATTCAATTGGACATGGGCATTGCATACACGATGCTGATGTAGGGGCAGGGAAAACGAATTTTCTCGATCACTTCTCTCCTGATTGATCACATTCGCGGTCACACGCGCCAGATCGGTATACGGATCGTAGGTGACTTTGGGTTCGCCGTAATACAACTGTTCACTAGGCTGACCCGACGGCAGTGGCGGCACATGCAAACGCGATTCACTGACCGACTTGTGTACGACTCCGTTCGTCAAACTCCGATCGACTTCCGGATCCGGTTCCGAGTCGAAGGTCAGGCGCCCGTGGCGATCGTAGCAAAGGGATCGTGGCCCCTTAACAAGGCCAGGGAGGAGCACTCCCCGTTCGATCCAAACCGACAGTTGTAGTTATTATTGTTGTTATTCCCCTCGAAGAAGGAGTACGGCGGTGGAATACCCTTGCGGATGCAACAGTTGCTTCCATGTGCAGGATAAATGCGTGGTGACTGCTGGCTGACCAGGCGACGGGTCTTCACCGCTGGCTCATCGCTGACCAGGGACTCGGAGCAGGTACGCGGCTTGGGTGGCACTGGCGGGGGTGGCAATGGGTGCCTATAGCTTCGATAGCTAACGGTGGCACAGGAGTTGTAGTGCTGCAGAGCTCCTGGCTGCTGATGTAGGTGTTGTAGATGCTGCTGCTGTTGCTGCGGATGCTGTGACAGTTTTTTGTCAATTGTATAACAACAAATTGCTGGTGACTCGTCGCTGATTTCAGATGACAGGGACAACACTGGCGATGACGCCTCAGTCGCTTCTGTTGCTCCTCTTGATGCCTGTGCTGTTGCTGTTGCTGCTGTTGTTGGCCGCTGCTGCTGCTGTCGTGTTGATTGTTCCGTTTTCGTTGTTGATGTATTCCGATGGCGCTTTTCTATTTCTATAACCGGCCGCCGCGCAACGTCATCGAGTTCGTCAGCGGCATCATCCTCATAATGGGCATCGACTAATACGCGCCTCGGGGTGGCATCGACTTCCTCCCCATCGAAGACAAAGCGAAACGACGACAAATCGGACACTGAATCGCAGTCCCCAAACGGCAGCTGTTGCCGCTGATGATGCTGCTCTTGGCGGCGGTCCATGGAGCTGCCAACTTGTTGCCTCTCGCCACAGCAATTCTCGCATAGAATCCGTGAGCTTTTTGTGCCGATGCCAGGAGATAGCTTTCGATGCTGTTGCTCCGTCTGAAGATGATGAAGATGTTGCTGCTGCTGCTGCTGCTGCGTGTTGGCAAAATATTTGGCAATGGGATCATACTCATCATCGTTGTTGTTATTATTATTTATGTTATTAGTATTATTATTGTTGATGTTGCTGTTGTGGTGGTGATAGGTCAACTGGGGACCACCCCTGGCCTCCTGGCCCTGGGTAATCATTGTGGCTTCGCCTGGCTGGCGCTGTAGCTCTTCATTCCACGACAGCTTCTTGTAGCCACGTCCGCGCACCACCCGTTGTCCCAATTGGGGCGTGCTCGGCAAGGAGCTGGACAGCTTCAGGGGCGGACGATGTGGCACCTGTTGAAGATCACCTGCTGTGGGGTGTGGAGGTAGGTGTAAGTGAACGCTCATGGAATGTTCACCTTTCCCTGATCTTACCAATGACTGTTTCCACCTCTCCAAGCTGGACAACTTCGCTGTCCAATGTCCGCGTGGAGTGGCGCATGCAGCAGCACGAGATCAAGCGACTGCTCTTGGCCCTCCTCCTGGCCACTTGGTCAGCTTCCAGCGATTGAGTTAGGTGTGAGTTGATCCTCAGATCACTGGAGTTTCTGTGAAATAGTTTTGTAAATTATTTAAAGCAAAAATGTAATATAAAGAAACCAATTTAGAGTACGCAGTGGGTGCAGTTTGATTTAGCTATCGGTGGAAATTTATATCTTCTGATAAGCTAAACAATAACATATAAACCTGACATGCATATATGATTTTACACTTTTTAAGATAAGTTTAGCTACAAACAGTGGCGTAGTAATGGCTAGAAGAAAAACAACTAAAGTTTCCATAAAGATAAATAACCTTGCTTCACTTGTTATTAGGTAAGTAGCCCAAGAATAATAAACAAATAAATATTGATATCTTATATTACTGTTAGTAAAGTATATCTTATTAAGTAACTAATATAGCCAAGATTACTGGGTCCCAAGAGTGGATAAAAATACATGCTTTTTCATTTATATTCAGAATGCCCTAGGGTCTTATATACCCCTTGAGTCATTATATATTTTAGGATATTCCAAATGTTCGCCCAAAAGCATGCCACAAGCATTGAACTTTAAACTTTCATGCAAATTAAAATGCTCTACTTTCGTCTCAATCCTTCACCTCTTGAAAGTGTTTCCATTCTTGGTCCTCATCGGGATACCCTCATATCTGGCTCTAGTGGAGATATCGTATTTAATGAAGCCTTGGGGAGCCTCAGGCATTATTCTACCCATCAGGGAATCTTTGTGGCAATCTGATGACAGTCCAATTCGGTCGAGTGTACTCACAGTAAAGTTCAGTGCCTCAAATATAAGGCACACCGTCGATCTATTTTTATCTGGTGCAGCGCATACTTCATCTTCAATACGATTGGGGAATACAGTAGAATTCGATATTATAAAACGCAGATGGATGCCTTTTATTAAAACATCGGGCGGAATGGGAAACTTTTGGAAAAATTATTGATGTTTTAAAGGGGAAAAATGTATTTAGATTTGTCGAAAACCCTTAATTTTTATTCTTACATCTAAATATTTTTAATTGAAAATAAGCCTAATTAAAGATTAATGCTTAAGATAGAAAATAATAAGCACAAATCTTTTTTTACTGATTTTATGCAGCCTTTCTCTTTCGCAACGTACTGTTTCATCGGCCACATTCTGCCTAAGCATTTTCAGGCATTTTATGGTTTTTCTATGTCTCTGTTTTCATCACATGAATATATGAGAACATCAAGAGTATTCACTAGCTCTAAAAGGCTCTTTAATTATCCAATTATAACAACAAAAGAAGCATATGTTTTGGTATCAAAGTGTTCATTCAATTAGTCTCTATGTTAAATAGTATTAACCCCATTATAAATCCTACCGTATGCCAGTTTGTAAGGCTTTAATTTTCCATAATCATAATTAAAACATTCCAAATGCCTTAAATGGTAGAAAAATCACAATTTTAGCCACTTTCAGCCAAGAGATATGCCACCTTTCGATTTCCTCGAACGGAACCCGAGTGTTACGCATGCGAATTTTTAGCACAGAGCTGCTAGCCAAGCCATGACCATGACATGGTCCAAGCTCTCCCAAAGTCCCCACTCCCATACACTTATTCCCCCACTTCCCTGCTGCCACTCTCGGTTAGCTGTCATTAAATATGTTTAGTTGGTTTTTCTCCGTTTTTTGTTGCATCCACAGCAGTGTCCATTGTCTTTCGGGGATTGGTTACCCACCCGACTTGGCCAGGCTTTTGTTTCAGTGGACTTTTCAGTCTTTTTCTTTGGCTCGCTATGGTGTTTTCGTTTTTGTTGTTAGTTGTTTTTTTTTTCTACATTTTAAACAAGTGGCTTTCCTATAATCTTAATTGATGTCGAACAAACAGCAGAGCATGTTGCACAAGCCGGAGACGTCTCCACTTTTTGCTGGCAGGAGTTTGCCAACAGGCAGGCATTGTTTGGAATGAGATTTGCATGGGCTACAACCTCATTTCGATATGATAAGCAAAATGGATTAAATCAGGAAAAAAGGCAAGCATAGTGGAGAAGAAAGCGTAACACTTTTTGAGGTGTAAATATCTCACGCTCGTTGGGAGTCAGTCACACATTTGTCCCCAAAAATATCATCATTTCGCCAGGCGACCAAAAATATATTTGTATTTATTTTCCACCAGAGGAATACCGAAGAATCTTTTCAGTAAAAGATGCTCGTGGCGAAACAATTGCAGTGTCGTGTACAAACAGTGCGTGGCATAACTATAACTAATAGATATGCTAAATAAATATTATTTAAATACCTTATATTAATAACAAACAAGCAATATGATTTCAAAATTAATGAAATGGAAATGGAATGACTTTTCTCTCTTAAAAGCAAATCCACGAAATATTCAAATGCTTTTGAGAGCTGTCAAAGCGAGAAATGTGTTTATTATTTCAACTCTTACTCATCCCCAGATATTTTTTATATTTATGAAACTTTCTGTACAAACATTTGTATATGTATATAGCTATGCTTGTGTGTACATCGAATTTTGTGTAAGACATTTTTTAGTTGAGATTTCTGGGGTGTTAGTCCATCGGCTACAAATGTATCTTTTCGCAGCGTAATCACTCAGGAATGCAGATGCACAGAGATCTCTAAATGCGGTCTATAAATACGCGCTCTAAACTGGCCAGTCGAAGCCAGCTTATCAGCCAGACGGCAGACGCGACACAAGAGGCAGAAGCTTGATTTGCACAGCTCCAGTAGAAGCAGATGCAGATGCAGATACAAATGCCTACAGATGCAGATGCCGATACAGATGCATCTGTATCTATAACTAGCACATCTGAGGCGCGTAATTAGATGCGCCTCAAGGCCGCAGCGCAGCTGATTTCACAGCTTATCTATTGTTTGGTCAGAGCAAAAAACACTGTCCCCGAGAAATCCCTGAGTCTGGGCCTGTGAATTCTTTTTGGTGTACGCCAGCTTCTTAATAAATATACAAGTTTTTCGAGTGTTTGCAAATGGAATACCTGGCCAGATAACAACGGGGCGACAGATAGCAAAAGATCTGGCCAAGAGCGTCAGCAATCAAAAGTCAGAGGCAGAGATACGACGTTAAACAAGATGTAAGTCCCCCTCCATCCAAACCAAAAGCGTAGAAGAATTAAAGCCCACTTGAGGGGCATTGGGAAGCGATCAGTGGTGATACATTATAAATAGTTTGCCGCCACTCGTAAATAAACAAAAATTCAATTAAAATCATACTCTCGAGTCCGAATCTATAATGGGGGAGAACCATTAAAAAACCATAAAAGTTTTGACATGTTGCGAACATTTCGCTGTCAGCTGCAGAAGCAATCCCCCCTGCGAGTCATCTAGCATCCAGCATCCAGCATCCCGTATCCAGCATCATCTCCCCATCCGCGAACAATAATAACAATTAAGCCTGACAACGCGCGCCGACTCTTCGCCCCCCGGGTAACACCTATTTTTGTATGCTCTTTTTCATAACTATTTCATGGGCCATAGGCCCTCCGCCCCGACCCACTTTGACTGACAAGTGACAGCGGGATCCCCGAGCTGTGATCCGTGATCCATGCCACATGCCCCCTCCTCACGTGCCACTTGCCGCTTGCCACTTCCCACTCCGCATGCAAAACTTCTTTGTTATGGACTTTATGATTAATCTGCACAGCTTTTCAGCGGCATATCAGCAACACCTCCAGCACTCCAAGTGCGTGATGAGATTAGGAGACCATCCACCATCGGATCCTTTTAAATACAAAAATAAAACAAAAAACAAAGCAAAATGCATACGCATTTCATCTCCGGAGGAAGCTATGTATGTTATATTCCTCATCCCTGGCCGTGGGCGACACCGCCCCGTCGAGGCTTTGCTGAACTTGGACTTGAATCGAATCCAAGAGTGGCGCGGCCCAGAGACCTTGTCCGTCTCTTTAAATTGCGAATCAAACGATTCTCTCAGTCACACCTACCTCATCAATGTGGCTAGGAGCCGGGCTTGAAACTGTATCTTTCGGTTCAAGTTTAGTTCGGTTCAAGACCAGCGAATGAGAGCAACAATTGCGAGACACTTGATACAGAGCACACACTAGTAGTTAGGGAATAATTCTAGTCTATATGGGCGTGGAAATACTGAGTACACTGAGGAGAAAGAAAGAGTACAAAGCACGCCATTTGATGACAATTTAGATACTCTATTCAAACTGGAAAATTATCAAAAGAAGACACAAAACGCTATGATGTACTAAAATCTGCCAAGTATGAATTCAAAGATAAAACAAGTAATGGTAAAGTATCTTTTACTAGAAACTATAACAATTGTAGGAAAATTAATGCATATTTTTAAATGCGATTTAAGAATTAAGTTACAAGAACATGTATCTGTAGTTTTTATTGTCATTTAAGATTGTTTTAACAATTAAGATACAACTTATTTAAGCCTTTTACCACAAACCTTTCAAGAAACCTGCATCTCCGAAACAGATATCGAAAGCAACCAATAATTTGCTATATTTTGTTAGCTGTAATAGTTCTTAGATACCTTGATTTTCCCCCAGTGTGCACAACAACGCACGAGCATCCATAGAAACCACAAAATCGTAACCCACACCTCGAGGCTCGCGGCGAGAAGAAGGCGGAGAAAAATTAGCTCTTGGGGCGAGGCGAGACGCGTAATTCCAGCTGCATTTTGGCTTAGGAACTGCCCAAAAAAAAAAATAAAGACCCAAGACCGAAAATCGAACGTTAAATCTGGCTCGGAATTATGTCAGTCAGTCGGTTAGTCTCTGGGCCAGGGTTCGACATTTCACTTTTGATTTTCGATTTCGTACTTTCACGAGCCGAGTCTCTGGCGTAGTGACCCCCGAGTTCAACCCAGCTGAACCCGAATGGTGTAGAAGCGATGCAGATACAAATGGGATTGGGATTGGGAATGGAGTGGAGCAGGAGTCGAAACTGATGCTGATGCTGGATGCTAAAACCTTTTGCCTGCACAACATTCAATTAGTACATATTAAATTTGTTTTGCCCCTTGCC